ATGGCTTTCCGCTTCTCCAGGAGTTGTTTGTGTTCGTCAACGTTGAGCATGCCGAGTTTAATGGAGAGCCACTTTAAAGTGCCCCACCACTTCTGGAGCTTCGCCGGGGTGACCTCCAACGTGACCGCCTGGTTCATGAGGTGCCGGACGTCGCCGGCCGTCCAGGGGAGGTTCTGGAAGCCGATCTTGCGCATGCCCTCATAGGCCAAGCAGTGTGCCCGGATGGTACGGAACCGGGCATCACCAAAGAGGTGGCCAAACTCCTCCAGCTCCCTGGCCCCCATCACCTGGTGCATGTAGGGGATCTGGTGCCGGAAGGGGATGAAGTATCCCAGGAGGCGTTCCAACCACCTGGCCCTCAAGTGTTGTTCCAACGCTCTCTGAGATGTCGGCAATTGGGTCTTGATCTTCCCTGGTTTCCAATGCCGCCACTTGTTGGCCACTGCCAGGACATCCGGGGCCTCAATCGATCCGGAAAGGATCCACTCTTCGCGGTCCCGGATGGCCTGTTCCATTTCCAGTGGAGAATAGGTGTGCGATTGCCTGGCGCCTGCCGCACGAAACAGAAGTTGTTGCAGGGTCTTAGTAGCGAGCTCCAAATCCGCCTCCTCCAGCGGTTGTGGTTGGGAGCCGAGTATCCTCGCGAGGATCAAGTTGTAGGTGTCCGAGGCCACCAGGACGTGGTTGCCGTCAGGTGCCAGCCCCACGATCCGTGTCCACGGCCGCGGGTCAAAGACCACCGCATCCGGGTTGGCGACCTTGTCCTTTTTGACCCATTCCAGGCAGCACGCCACGAGGATTTCCCCGTCCGACTGCACTGGTGCAAATCCAAGGTCATGCAAAATCAACTGGAGCGCGGTTGGCGCCCCTAGGAAGGTCGTCCCAAACGGGGAAGGGAGGCGGGGCCTCCACATCATCATGATCCACTCGAGCCGGGGGCCTAGTCCCTAGGTGCAAACCCCAACCAAACAACAGGGGGCCCCCCAAAACCCCGGAAAGTCAACCCCGAAACGGAGGAAACGGGGGAAAAAGGGGGACCCAGGGAGCCGCCCCGAAAAGGGAAAACCAAACAAGAGAGGGGAACCAAGGCGCACCCCGGATCAGCCCAAGCCGCGCCAATTTTCCTCGCCTGGTGCAAGTCTGGGCCTGCGCTGTTCCCTGGGGGGGGATATCAGCGCCTTCGGCAGCTGTCCCCCCCCCGGGGTGCGCTGCGCATCCGTTCCGGATGGCCGCGGTCCTGGATGGTGTGCCGGAAGATGGCGTTGTCCCGCATCATCACGCGGCCCCCTTCGCGATGTCATCGATGCGCTTGAGCGCAGCAGCCTCCGGATTCCGCAGAATCAGCTCCCAGATGGCATTGGAGACGTGGCCTGTCTGGGTGGTCTGGCTGAATCTGAACCTGGGCACCTTCTGGTCCACGATGGAGACGTCCCGCAACGGGGCCGAGGGCTCCACCCGGCGGTAGTACTCCAGCCGCTCCTTCACCCAGCGGTTGTAGAGGCCCTCCGGCGGCTCGTCCAACACCAGCTGCAAGATGGCCTTGCCGGCCCGGATCTGGAGGAGGCGGGTGCCCCCTCCCCCGGCACGCCAGTACCCCTTACAATACTTGCACATGTAGCCCCCCCGGGTCTCCCCTTTTGTCTTCGGGATGAGTTCCCACGGGGTGACGGAGCTCAGGACCAGGCCACACTCCATGTGCGCCCAGAAGACATGCTTCATCTCCACCGGATAGTTCTTCTTCCGGTAGTCCTTACCCACCACGTGGGGGGGTAAACGATCCCCTCAGGATGTCAGGGCCATCGGCACCTGTCCGGCACCCAGGGGCAGGGGTCCAGGCCCATCAGCTTGATCATGTCGTTGGTGTAGCCGAGCTTGCGGTAGATGGAGGGGGCCACTGAGTCGGGGACTGCGCCGACCCACCACTGCTTCGTGTTGCAGCGCCAGTTGACCTTCACCTCTGCCAGGGCCCCCGGGCCTCCAATGCGGTCCATGAGGGCCTTGTACACCTCTGGGAACTGCTGGAGGCTCTCCACCGGGACCGAGATGCGCTCGTCGCATACCGCCCGCAGGATCATCTGCTCCTTGGAGTCCGCCACGTCCTGGACCGGGAGCTGCATCACCTCCGCCGGGGTGTCCGTGAGGAAGGCCCGGGCCGCGAGGACCTTGCCCATGGCCCGGTAGACCAATCGCCACTCCGGTCCTGTCTGCGGAAACGGAAGGCCCTCCTCCTTCAGGAAGCACCGCGCGTCCTCCTTCAGGGTCTCCCAGCCCTCCAGGCGGGTCTGATTCTGGGCCTTGTTTTTCGGGCCCCGCTGCCTAGGGCCCTGCAGCAGTGGCAGAGACTCCCAGACTCCCCAGAGCTGGCGCAGGGTGTAGCTGTGCCCGAACATCCCCAGTAGGCCTGGGAGTGTCCAGGACGAGATCTGGCGCGTCCAGTGGAAGTCCTCATCCGGATCGTGGGGGGCAGCCCAAAAGATGGATCGCAGGTTTGCAGGGTAGGGTCGGTCCCCCGCCTTCGCCTGCTGGTTCAACTCATCAACGGAGTACCTGGCCCAGGGGAGTCCACCCACCTGGTGGTTCCTGGGATGCGTACCCTTCTCCAACGCCTCCGGATTCACCTTGGTGAGGTTTTTCGCCCAATCCGGGACGTGTACCGGGCCCGGTCGTCGGACCCAGCGGCCCGCAAAGATACGGACCTCTCCGACCCGTTTGCTCATCATCCAGCGCAGGACCGAGAGCTGCACCTCCGGGTCCTTGGTGTCCAGGCCCACCGGGGTGGCGGACGGCTTGTCAGGGCCCTCGGCACCTGAGCTCGTCACGCCAGAGCCCGAGGCTGGGGGGATGGTGGGCGGCCTGTCAGGGCCCTCGGCACCTGGGCGCGCCGCACCAGAGCCCCCCGCCTTTGGCATGGGGATCCCTGTCAGGTCCGGCAGATCTGACAGGAGGGCCGCCGGGAAGGGATTCCTACCCAGCGAGATGACCGCCTTGGCCTCAAGGTAGGAGTCCGTGAGGGATGTGAGGTCGTCCATACTGAAGTCCCTCCATGCCGTTGTCGGCTCGAAGACTGGCGACCCGGACCTCACTAGGCCACGCACTGAAGGGAGGCGTGATGGGCTCGAGCATTCTGGTTTCGAGGGAGCCCTTCGCCTGTCTGGCTTGGTGTTTCGCTTTCGCCTCCTCCGCAGTGGTCTGGGCCTGGAGGAGCTCCGGTGTGGGTCTCCCCCAGTCCGCACCCAGCTTGTCCAGCAGCTTCTCACGGAAGAGGTCCAAGTCCAGGTTCTTCAGGAGCAGGCCTCCATCACCTCCTCCGTCAATGGCCCCCCCTTGAAGTTCGTGGAGGACCGCCGCGGAGCGCTCCACCGCTTCCACCTGGTCCGCCTTCTTGGCCTCCTCCTGGGCGATGGTGGTGGCGTTGAGCCGGGTCTGAATCTTGAAGGCCTTCACCGCAGACGGGTGGAAGGCTCTGCATTCCTGGCCCTCTTCCTTGTCGCCTGGCAATGGGGGCCTCTCCCCCGGTGGGGCCGTCAGAAACTCCTCGTCCAGCTCCATGGGGCAGTTCCTGATCACCGCCCGGACCGAGGAGGGGACGAAGTCCGAGAAGCTGGCCTGGTCCGGGTTCTCGCAGGCCATCGGGTCGGTGGCCAGCTCGCTGACGTCCACCGAGGCACTGAGCTTGAGGTCGCGGGCCCGGTCCGTGTCAGGGCCTTCGGCACCCGCGGACCGGGCCGCCGTCCAGACCGCATTGCCCTGGTCATCCACCGTCAACTGCCAATGCGTGCCCGCCATCTCCAGGGTGGCCGAGTTGGTCGCCGTGTCAATGGGCTCCGTCTTCTTGCCGCACCCCATGCACTTCGTGGCGCCCTTCTTCACCCAGGGCATGGTGCAGCAGGGGCAGATCCAGGATGTGGGCACCTTGCCCAGGGGGCGGTTCTCCAGGCCCCCGTACCCCAAGCCAGCGCGCTTGCCAACCTGCTGTCCCGGGGTGCTGAGCCGGGCCTCATGCTCGTACTTCATCTTGGCGATGTAGAAGGCCTCCACAACGCGCTCCAGGCCCCCCTGCTTGAGTTGGGGGCCCTCAAAGCCTCGCAGGAGCCGCTGGACGTCCTTGGCCTGCAGTCGGCGGAGCCTAGTGGCCGTGGTCGCATCGAAGCAAGGGAAGTCGCCCGCCATCTGGTCGTCGCTGAACTGGTAGAGGCCCTCCGAGACCTTGAGGGCCTTGGTGAACACGCTCCCCCCCGGCGGGGGGGCTGCGGGGTTCTCATCCTCCTCCGAGGACGCCTGCTCCTTGACCTTCGCCATCAGCTCCCGGCGCCTCTGCCACTTGGCGTCTGCCCGGGCATCCAGGCGGGCCTCCTCCAAGCGGGCTGCAGCCGAGGGGAACCTGGGCATCGGCAGCTCCTTCTCGTCCTTCGCCAGGAGCTCCTCCATGGGCACGTCCTCCTCCGGCGGGTTCAGGAGCTCCAGGAACGCCCCTGGGGGGCGTGTCAGGGCCTTCGGCACCTGCGCCACCCCAGGGGCTGCATCTTCCATCGGCTCATCCTCTGCCTTGCGCTTGGCCGGGATAAGGGGGGCCTGCTCCAGCTCATCTGCGCTGGAGAAGAAACGCTCGTCAGGTGCCTGAGGGACCTCAGCAGCCAAAACGGTCCATCCTTCTTCCTCCCTCTTCACGAGGCTCGCCAGGTACTTTGCCATGGAGGCCTTTGCCTTAGCCTTGGCCTCTGCTACCGCGGCACCAGCGTAGGCGGGGGCGTACATGGCTTTGAGAGTAGGGGAAAGAAAGATTTCAAATCACAAGACAAAGGATCAAAAGGTCCACTTGAGCCAAAATGGTGGCCCAAGTGGATACTTATTAAGAGTCAAGACAAGCGACCACCTACGGTTAACGCTTTAGCCCACTTCTCCGGCACACACACACACACAAAATCGTCTTGTCTGACCCTATTCCACACCTTTGGTACCCTCACACACAGCCCACCCTTTGCGGCTGACCCCGAGCCGTCCTTGGGGGGCGACTCCCAGCCGGTGGGGTGCTGGAAGGGGTCCATGGAGCAGTACCTAGAATCAGAGTCGGGGGGGGGAGGCTTCTTGTGGGGGGCAGGAGGATTTGCGGTCTGCCATTGCCCACCTTGTTCCGCAGCTTGCGACCGGACAATAAGCGTTTCGGGTAGATTTAGCGTGCCCCCCCCCCCAAGTCAAAAGGCTCAACGCCGCGAATGCCGGCGTGACCTTGTTTTTGCCCCGGCTTTCTTTTCACTCAGCTTCCACAACTGGTCGTGTGTTTAATTTGGGGTTGCTTCAAAGGAGAGCCGAAAGGAACCCCCCATTTTGAGGGCGTTCTCCTATTCTGACACAAACCTACACCGTCTCTTACACCTCTCCGAGCCGCTGCATGGTGTCCCCCTCCGGCGCTTCGCAGGTGGCTCGCTGCTGGCAGAGCTGAGCGCATTTGAAGGTCCCGGGGCCTGCCTTGCCGCCTCACGAAAAAAGCAAGAGGAGCGGTGGAAGGCGAACCGAAACCGGACCCCACACTAAAAATCAATGCAGTTTTGCCCGGAAAAAGACATGACATGTTTATGATTAGGGGCAAAAAGGGAACTCAAAAGCAGGCATTTGGAGAGTTGATTTCTTGATTTGTTTGCCACTTCTTTTTAACTGGGTACCCTTTTTAGCGTGGCTAAGCAGGGAGTTGGGAAAGAGCTTTCATCATTTGGAGAAAGACGCAGTGTGCTTGGATTGGACACCTTTGGAAACCATCTCAACAGGGGTGTTGTTTTTTCAAAGGAACCCTTTGTCGTGGTGTGCGCTGGCCACTAAAGAAACAAAGCCCTGATATGTTGCTTGGGGATGGCCACGTCCAAAGGAAGCGAAAAGACTAGACTGAAGGGATCTTGCTTTGAATCGGTGTCAGATGCAGCCAATCAAAAGCCTACGAAGAAGCGCAGCACGCGAAACAATGGCTGTGATGCTCATATTCCAACAGGAAACCACTAACTTAACCATGAGCATGAACCCAGTGGTAAGCATAATGATTCTGGTGTGATACCACAATGGTATCTTACAGCAACATTTCCGTTGTCCCTGTAAGACCGGGAGAACTACAATGGAGAGGAAAAGCGAACATTGTTGATTCAATGTTGACATACCATTAGTGAAATATCTGGGTAGACAATACGCGACTTGATCGCTGCAGAATTCCCTTGAAGCGACCAAGCAGAAACCGAACACCAGGAGGTCATAACAAACACGACCCGCATAAGCGAACCAAATGATCTACGCACATTATCACTTGTTCCTACACGGACATAGAAAAGCCAGGCATTTGGCTGGTGGTTTGTGGTGGTGGCATTGTGGAAAGGATTGCCAACAACAGCACCAGTTGCCGAAATGGAGACTGCCAACAAATTTGGCCAATACCACTCGACCAAACCCAAGCCGCCCAACATCCCCAAGGAACCTTCCGGTGGCCTTCCAACCCCCCCGCGCCCCCCCCGCCCCCCGCCCCCCGGCGCCTGTGCTCCGAAGCTTCTGCATCACCTGCCAGAAGATGGGCTGATCCGCCCCGAGGCGCTCCCCGTAGCCTCAGCTAAAAACATAAATCCCATGGGCTGTTTCCCCCTGCTTGGTGCAGATGCAGAAGCGACCCCAACATGTTTGGGGTCCGATGTTGCAAACAAACGCAGTGAGATCGCACCTCCATGAAAAAAAGCAACAACGTAGCCCTCTAGAAGACCAGAAGGAATAATTACATGGCTCAAAGCCAACTTGGGTTTGGGCTTAGATCTGTCTGCCACATTATCGGACAGCTCGGCTGATATCAAAGGCTCACTCAAACAACAAATCTATGCAGCAACTGGCCCGTACATCATTTCAAACCGCCCAGTAGCGGCGGAATGCATCTTCACGTTGGCGATCAACCTCTAAGACGACGTCGGCGAATAAGGAGATCATCTTTGGATTGCGCTGCGCAGTCGCGTAGAAGAAGCCAGTATTCCCCCCATCGCCAGGAACGACATGGTCCTTGTTGGGAGCTTGCGAGAGCTCCTCTTGGTAGACATAGTCGTATCTGCTGCTTCTGATCAGATCGCCCAAATGAGCGCCTGGGTATGTCTCAAAATTATTATGAGACTTCCAGAACTGTTAGTTCCAATTATGGCTTCCCCTGAAAATTCAAATCCACTACACGGCTCCCCACAACAAGAGACTGGGACCCGCCTGGCGCAAAGGGGTCTTTGTGGAACATGTTGTCCGCATCTGTGAAGACCACACCCAGGCCCGCAGAGCGCATCATAGTCAGCACCTGAGTGATGGACCGTACAAAGGCGAACCCCTCAGTTGGTATCTTTGCAGTCAAGAAGCAAGAAGAACAAACAAAGAAACATGAAGCTGAAACCAAAACACAAACAGAAGGCTAATCAATCAAACAAATCACACGGTCAAATGGCAACTAAGGAAACAGCTGAAAAAGTGAACGCGACGTCACTTACTGGGACAGGGTACCATGAACATCTTGTTCCGTCCGACACTATCCAACTTGGCGCTGCCCCATCCATTCATGCCGCTCACCTTCTCTCCCATGGCCAGCATACCCCGGTCGCCCAGATGCTTGAAGGCATCCTCGTCGTTGGCGACAACTGCCCAATCTAGCCCATACCTTTCGGCATTGCACCGCCAGTTGTTGTAGATGGAGAAGTATGCATGGTTTGCGGCCGTCACCAGCACCACGTTGGCAAACTCGGGATGCGCCTGCTTATCCAGGTACACCCCCGCACGCTTCTTCACCACCTGGCTTCTTCATAAGTTGTGTCTTCTCAGGCCATGGTTGCCTTTGCGTTTGCCTCTGAAGCAGGGTCCAAGTCAAGTGGACGCAGTGTATCCAGCAATTATCCCGAAAATCCGAAGTAGGACAGACCGTGCACCAGTCTCCACCCTTTCCCTTGGCTGAATTTGAAGGAACCACTGCCAACAAACAGGAACATATTGACACTGATTGACATATATTGACATTCCAGCCCATGAACCCCCACCAAGATCAATGTTCAAGCGATTCCCTCCCAACAACAGGGCAAGAAGACACAGGCCCTCCGCCTCCACCATCCGACGCTCCTCCTCCTTGTCTGGCTGGAGCTCTGCGAGTGGATCCCGCACAAGACCTCGATTCGTCCAGCGTGGTCTAAGTCAAATCGGGCAATCCTGGGGGTGCTGGGAAGTTCCCCTGAAGCCTGAGGGCACGCTTCGTGGCGCGAAGTCCGTGGAAAACGCACAGACCGCAGGTCAATGATCCATTACGATGAGACGCACCTCAAAAGGCCTAATGACAAGCCAATCCCTCTATTCCCTCACCACACCACCAAAGGAAGCTTAAAAGCTTCTATGTTGAATCACCGAAAAGGTCCTTTCCACCGCACAAGCAAGTCCGGCATACTACGCAAGAAAAACCATCGCTCTTCTTCACCAACACACACACACAAACACAGAAGACAAACAACCAACAGGATGATTGACAACACAACCATTGCTTGAGTAAATGCACCTAGGTCTGATAATTTTGAGCTACCTGTAGACACCTCCCTTCCTCGAAGAGACTTATTGTAAATACAGGGGATGGCAACATGGCTGCTCATATCGGAATAGTTGTCCCTATTGAAGGCACGCCCTTCCCAACATTCCCCGCGGCAAGGCTGTCTGGCTTGGGCCAAAGACCTGTTTCGGAAAGCAAAGCCACAGTTCGGACAAAGTCATCTTGATTCAAAGCAACCATCACTCTATGGTTAGGGAAACCAGCGAGCAACAACACAGGCCAAACCAGAAATTGGGGAACTGGGAAGAATACTGCTCCGGGGGCCACATCTTCCCAAACAAGGTAAATTAGTTTCCTTGCTTATTGCCCATGCGGATGCTGCTTGAATAAGGGACACGCTGCATGATGTCTTTGGACACGGTACCAAATGAAATCCGGCGCCGCAATAGCATAATAGCCACAAAACATGCAATCTGGCATTTCAGGGCATGTATTACCCTGGAGAGCTCGCATGTTTTCCAAACTATTTTATGAATGTGTCAAATAGCCGGCCCACGCTCTGGCTGGCTTCCTTTAGCCTAGTCTTTGCAACAACCTGGACATTCCAACGAGCACTGTGCTCTTGTGCGTAGTTTCTGTGCTTGCCTTAGTTTACAATGCCCGCAAATTGCCATAAACGCCTCAGCAGTGAAACACACCCGCAAATGGCGCACAACGCCGGCAAAAAGCCGCACAACGCCCGCAAACAAGCACACAAACGCACATCCTCACAAAATACCTAAATCGCCAAACACGTCTTGAATCGTGAAACGCCCGGTAAAAAGTACGGCAATGACATGTCCAAAAGGGTAGCCTCCAAAAAGACGGAGCGGAAGTTGTCTCGCGCCCGTTTTAGGCGGGCCACAACTCTTCTTCTCCTCGGACCAAGCATCCCACACGCCAGCCTTCTTTAGCTTGCCAATCTTCTCTTCCTCAGCCATCCGACCCAAGAAACAGTGCATAGTCTTCCGTTTGACAAAAGCATACGCCCACTTGAGGGATTTCCTTTTGGGAGCCCTACGGGGGGTGTCATGCCATTTTCCAGGAGAGCAACTGCCGACTAGAGCATCACACCCTTTTGCATGTCCTCTTCTTGGGCGGCAATTGATTGGAAAAGAATCAACCGTTGGGAGTGTGTTTTGTCATTTTCTGAGGGAACCTCCAAAAACTTAAAATACATGTAGTGTCCCATTGAACAACAAGCTTAACAGCACCCGCCAAACACACATAGCCGATGCCTTTGACCATCTGTGCAGTTGCGCAAAGGCCAGTAGGCCTGTGGAATATGGGTAACCGTACTTGGAGACTCGGCACTTCTCAACGAAAGTGCCACAACACTTCGCCGGCTTAGTGAACCCCAAGGAGCCTTCATCAAGATGGTGTAAACCCCTCTGATCAAGGGGGAATCCTTGGGGGCGTGCTCCAACCATACCCTTCAAACTAGAATTACCAGCCTGTCTAAAACTAGAGCTACCAAGCTATACATGGGGTACGTGAAGGGGGGATGGCAAATATTGCAGATCCTCTCCCTGTCAGAATCCTCCGGAAAAGGGCGTGAAAAGGCCACTCAGCCCAAATCAAAACATGGCAAATTAAAACAAGACAAACCTAGACAAACCAAAATGACATTGCACACCTAGACAAACCGAGGCACATTAGCGGCATAGTTGGCGTGGTAGGTCACAAGAGCCTTCGGGGGCTCCTCCCAGCCAGTGGGATGCTGGAAGGGGTCCAGGGAGCAGTAGTCCATAGTGTCCTGGGCATGCGCCCATGACCGGAGCTTCTTGCGTTACTCCACCCGACCAAACAAGTTGTGTTGACTGGTCATGCGGAAATGCAGTGCTCTATTGGCCACATTGTATCCGCCCTTCACAGGGTTCTACCCAAAAAACAAGGTGGGTTCTATCGCAATTGCAGCCCTGCTTTGTTGAGTCAGAAAGGAGATTGCCCGAAAGTGCCACAACTAAATATCCCAAAGCCCCCTCCGCAGTCTGCAGGAAAGGATCCTGGAACCTTCATAGAAAAAGCGCATGAGGTGAGGAGAACCATTTCCGCATTTCCAGGAGGCCTATCACGCCTCACCAATTGCCCATGCATGAATGGAACATGTCAGGGGACGCTTCCCAAGTACTTGCCGCTAGGACCGCGGCCGGAATTAACGGCGCTCAGGAAGCGAAACCCAAGAGACCCAGTCCTCTCTCGGCGCCTTGCAGGTGGGGTTGTGCTTGCACAACCTGGCTGGACTCAATCGAGGGAGAGACACAAGAACCACGCACCAGGGGGAAGGACCAAACAACGAGAAGTGAGTCAAGTGGACTGGGGAGCGGTTCAAACCTTTCATATTATGTACCAATTTAGGGCCCTCTGTGGGATGGTGCAATATGTATCCCCCCCCCCCCCACCCCACCCCCCCTTGCTAGGCAGGAAGCAAGAGGTTGGCCACTGCACCGTGCATGTGAGGCACACCAAACAACACCAAACAACACCATACACACAAACACACACACACACACACAGACACGGACACAAACACTGATACAAACACAACACACACACACACACACACACCCATAGGTTGTTACATTGCTTCGCACGACCATTGCCTGCTCCTTTGCTCATTCTACCAGCAACACGCCAACAAGCAGCGCCGGACACAAACTAGGCACCCGTGCTTGATCCGTTCTCGAAGGAAACCAATGCGAAACTAAACTTTCAAGGAATCACTAGATTCTGACACCCGCCCAAAGAAAAGCAGAGAACCTCAATCAGTTCTGAAGAGCTTCGTGCAACGGTAGAATAATGATTCCCGCAAAGGGTACCGGAAGCAAATCAAAGCAAATGGGCCAAATGGGTGTCTTTTTCTAGGGCGATTCTTTTGGAGACGTTCCAAAGGCAAACCAAGAAGAGTCGACCCAACTTGGAGTTTCGCTTAACAAAACAAAAGGCTCGTTTTCCCTTCACCGTATCATTCAAGACAAGAAGTTGTGGCACGAAAGTCCCTTTGCGCGTCCTAACCTTCTCTTGGCTTCAGGGGTACAAGGGTCTGGACCCAATACGCCTTTCTCCCTCCCCCCAAAAAAAGAAAACCAAAAACACACTTCCAAGAATAGTGCAAACCAAAGGGCGCCCCCCGATTCAGTCCCTGTCTAACGCAAACCAAAGGACGCCCCGCCCAACCTCCACCCCCCGCCGACAGTCCCTGCCTCACGCACTTAAAGCCGCCCGGCCCGTCTTTGCCACTGCTGGACCGGAGCTTTTGCATGACCTGGACCAGCGGTCCCAAAATGCCATGGCAAGTCGAGCGAAAACCTCTGCTTCATTGCTTCAGACACCTGAAAAGCAGTGCAACCCAGTCACGGTGCGATCCAAGGACCCTAGAAATCCGCGAGAGCTCGAAAGGCAAACGGCCAAAAGCTGGGGTCAAGGTGGGGCCCCAGTATCAAAGGGCACCTGCCATCTGTTTGGTGAGCCAGTGGGAAACTCGGTGCGGTTTATAGAAAACAAATCGGCCACAACTTGCGCAGCTCTATGTAGCGTAGCCCTCAGGTTGGTTCCCACTGCAAAATATGTTCTGCAACATATGTCCTGGGGCGCTTGGTGATCACCCTAAGTTGTAAAAGAGTGTAAAGGAACTGATTTGACTCCCAAGATCATACAGGGAATCACACCATTATCAATTGCACCTGCGCTAACACATTCACACCTGCCAAAGGAATTGGACCGTTAGAAGATGTGTGCGTTTTCCGGCGACTTCCCCTTCTGTGATAGGTCATTCCATGGGCCAGGCATTGACTTGAACCCTCAGATTTCATGGCTTCCTGGAAAAGGGACGTGGGAAGGGAATGGTTCAAACAACTCTGGACTTGTCATTCTCTGGGAAACATCAAGAGACCCCCTGCAGGGATCGCTCAAATAAATAAAGCAGAAGAGAGCATACATTGTATTACCAAAAACAAATTAACAAGCAAACCAAATGAGCAACAAACCACCAAACACTTGGCCCACCCCTCCCGCCTGCCAAAAGATTGGCTGGTCCGCCCCCAGACGCTCCCCAGAGCCTTAGCGAGTCAGAGGAACAAGGGGACGCTTCCACGCTGCACGTGCCAGCGAGCGCCGGACAGGCGTTCAACCCTGTGGATCCAAGTAAGGAACCGGTCTTTTCACCGTGGCACATGGGGAGACGAGCATGTGGCCGGTTCGTGTTTGGACCCTGCCACCTTGTGCCGCCTTTTGGAGGGAGTACCAAAACGAGCCCAAAAATTAGAAGGAGTTGGTGCAAACAGCATGAGAACCAAAAGACCGGGCACCTGTTCATGTTTGGGGCTGCCCCCCTACAAACCTTAAGTACCTCTCTGGTGTTATGTTTCTGCCGCCTAAGGCGGGATTCCAACCCAGAAGGGTTGCCAGGGTGTCAACCCCAGTTTTGAGTTGACGCTACAAGAAAGCGACTTGGAGATGTCCCCCGTTTGACACACACACACACACAGCAGCTGATCTATGGTTCGACGTGTTGGATTGCAGGCTTGCGTGACTCTGACACAAAAAAGAAAGCTACGAAACAAAAAGAAAGCTTGCGCGTCTCTGCCCCGCAGGGTTGTTGTTTGTCCGTTTGGCACCGTTTCAGGCCAGTCAAGGCTCGTTGCTGCGACTGAGCAAAGCACTCTGTCACTTTGGGTCAACCAGCACCATCTGCACAAATCTGTTTGCGAGAATTGAGCTGGTGATAATTTGGCCATGTACCATGGTGTGGGATCAGCAAAAGGCAGCTTGGGGGCACAGAGTACTGTAAGTTACACGCTTCTGTCCAGGTGCCAACCTCGAATGAGATGTCTGTGTGTGTGTGGATTTGATATCCTTTCCAAGGTTGTTTTGAAGGGAAGCTGTGTTGGGGTCCGCCATATGTCCTTGCGACCTGTTCAGCTGGCCGCGTGAACCAGAATCTGCCGAGTGGCGGCGGAAAGACTCCTCGCGCTGGCGATCAACCTCTGCGACTACATCGGAAAAGAAGGACACCATCTTCCTGAGTGGCAGACATCTCACATTGGGCAGGTGGCCCCGAACCCACGAAATCTACATCCCTGTCATTCTCACAAGAGAAAGTGAGCAGCTTGGCCTTACCAACGGTCTCCACGAAAGAACGGCACGAAATAGTCAATGTAGGGTAATAGAAACTGAGAAAGGGCTCCCCAACAACATAGGAATCAATGCAGAAAGTTCTGGGCGTCTACCAATATAACAGTTCTTGACCCCACCATCTTGTCTGTTTGGCCACCTTCCACTTCAAGTCAGAAAGTCTTGATAGGGAAACAACATGAACCCTAATAGCCTTTTGGGCTGTTGCCAAAAAGCAACAGGATCCCAGCAACTCAGCTTGGCTTGATCTGCTTTTGATGCAAATTAGCTTCTGGTTGCGCCGCGCGGTTGCATAAAAGAAGCCAGTGTTGCCGCCGTCGCCAGGGACAACATGGTCCTTCAAAACTGCTTCCACTAGCACAAGCAGAGCAACGGTTCCCCTCAAGGCACCAAAGGAAATCCAAAACACGCGTCTACCTGAACCAGCCAGAAAACGAACACGCCCCGCCCTCCAAATCTCAAGTGCATTGCCATCTCATCATAGTATGCTCCGGCCGAACTACGCGTCCTTGTTGGGAGCCTTTGCAAGCTCCTCTTGGTAGACATAGTCGTACTTGCTGCTTCGGATGAGATCTCCCAGGTGAACGCCTTTCGCAAAGGGGTCCCCGCGGAACATGTTGTCCGCATCTGTAAAGACCACCCCCAGGCCCGCGAGGCGCATGATGGTCAACACCTAAGTTAAGCACTGGCCGGCAAGTGGATTAAAAAAACAAGGACGATGCACAACACCAAACAAACAAACAAACAAACAAACAAACAACAAACAAACACACATCACTGAAAGACACTAACAAACAAACATACATCAGTGAAATCACAGGACTGGAGCCAACTGAAAAAGATTCCGCCAATGAACACATCAAGCAGGGCACCATGAACATCTTGTTCCGTCCGACACTATCCAACTTGGCGCTGCCCCATCCATTCATGCCGCTCACCTTCTCTCCCATTGCCAGTATGCCCCGGTCCCCCAAATGCTTGAAGGCGTCCTCGTCGTTGGCGACAACTGCCCAATCCAGCCCGTGCCTTTCGGCATTGCACCGCCAGTTGTTGTAAATGGAGAAGTATGCATAGTTTGCGGCCGTCACCAGCACCACATTGGCAAACTCGGGATGTGCCTGCTTATCCAGGTAAACCCCAGCATGCTTCTTCACCACCTCGACCATTTGACGCTCTTCATCAGATGCGGAAGTATCTTTGACCTGCACGTCTCAGCGGGGCGAGTTGCGCAACCTGCTGTCTTTCCAACCCGTACGTCTGCACCAGCGCACAATGGCAAGATGTGTATATATGTCTCGTCATACGAGTACACATACATGTAGCGCAAACACATGAACAACAAATTTACCGGCATGGGCTCACATCCACGTCATACACTATGTGTTTGTATGTAGGTTGTGCAACGCTAGGAACATGTGAATGGAGTTTGTGTAGGCAAACAGGACATTAAGTGCCACACAATGCATGTATGTATACCAGTATATGTGTATGGGTGTGCGAATGCATGCATACATACATCGATTGTTGATTGCACCCGTAGAAACCATGGCAATAAATATATATATATATACACATACGTATGTATTACAACAATCAACATGTGCGGAACAAAACTTAATATGTACACAGTTTGCCACGTGTATATAAAAATATATAAAGAGTCAACATGCCTTCTTTTCCGCGCTTGGCAAGTCCATATTTGTCAGAAAAAAACAAAAGTTGGAAACAGATATGATCATTTCCGAAAGTGCTCCCTGCACTTTGGGGCCCGAACCTGCCTCCCTATCGCCAAACCGTAAGGGAGACAGGGCCCCCCACGATGATTTAAGAATCCTCTTGGGTCCCTCGCCAAACCAAGGGACATCAAGGCCCGAGCTCTGTGCGGGGACCCTCACTTTAACCTTTCCTGGCCAGATGGCCATCCTGGGCCGAAATAAAAAGGGTAGGGCCCCTTGAAACCCAGCACGCACCACTTTGTGCTCGCTCAAGCTGCGGCAGCTTGCTGCGGCATGCCTGTTTGTACACACATTGACAAACGGGTTCAAAAACCGATGATCCAATTGAAGCTCGGCCAACAAGGCAAGTCCCTCGTTCAAATAGACCCGAGCCGTCTTAGCGGCTTGCCACCGGCCCTGCACCAAAAGCCGGCCGAAAGAACCGTGACGCTGAAACCAACATGTTGCGCCTCCCCTGCGTAGGCTGTAAGGGCGGAACCCAAATGCCTCAAGATGAAGCTCCTTCAGGCGGGAGAAATGAGCGCGGTAAACACGAGGCAATCGACACAAATGTGAATGATCTGACTTCTGATTATAATGAATTGAAAACTGGCTGAGGACAACTGCAAGGAGCTCCCCTGTGCGCAGCATGGAGTAAAAGCCTAGTAGTAGCGACAGGGCCATGAGGTGCTCTCCTTCGAAGAGACATTTGCCCACCATGGCATGCAAAACGACCTCGGGCATGGGCGGCGCCCGGTTCGGAATTTCTGAAATGTTCCAGGTTTTAAGCAGTTGCCAAGATCCAGGCAGCATCCCCTTGAGTTTGGGATTAAAGTCCTGCAAGCTAGCTACCGTGTCGGAAGCAAGGGCTCGACCTGCACCTGTGGACCACAAGTGTTCCAGGTATTCTGCGACGAGGTCATCCAACAGCTCGCGCTTTCTAGGTACGTCTATACCTTCCGTATTCAAAAAGGAAAGGAACTTCCTCCGAGCCGCGTCAGTACAGTGAGATTCTTGAGAGACTCGAAATTGTTTTCTAACTCGAAGTCTTTCCTGCTGCGTGCAACCCTCAACGTGTTTAGCTACTTTACCCGTTTAGAGCGGCGACTCGGGTGGTCGGCCGGGTTCTGGGCAGTATGCACGTACCCCCGTGCAGCGGGCAGTTATTCAAGTCAACGTCCGTCGCAGCTTTCTACTCGAGGACCTGCCTCGGGAGAGAGCATGCAAACAGACCAAGGAGTCAGTTAAACGAAGGAATCTCTTATTTGTCTTGTTCTTCTTCTCACAGCGCCACTTGACAGCTGTTAAAATAGCCCGAAGTTCCAGCACACATTGGTGTGGTTGGTCAGAATGGCTTTGCCACTGCCAACCTGTAATGGTCCTCCAATGGCCACAGTTTCGCAGGAATACTTGCCGGTGAAATTTCACGCTGGCTAGTAGTCTGGCTCTGCAAAAGCAGGTCCTTCCCCTTGACTGAAACTAACCCGAGTAGCCGCTTTACTTGGGTTGCCTCCTGATCGGGCCCACGGGACCTAGACCAGTTTAGAGGCGGTCACCGGGCCGAAGTTGGTTCAAAATCTCCTGGGGGTCAAACTGAGGGCAAAGTCCAAGGACAGAGAACAGTTGCGCTAACAGCCAAACCACAACACCAACATTCCAACTGTTCCCTATCAGGGTGAGACGCTGGTCATTGAAAGCACTGGAGCCGTGTTCTGATTTAGGGGCGCAGGCCCGGGTGTAACCCACGGGAATCCCATGAGGGCCTCACGCTCCTCCGCGTCAGCCACGCGAAGATGACCCTTCTTGTTCCGCAAGCAATTCCCAGCAAATGGATAAATGAGCAGAGCATCTAGTGACCAGATCTGCGTACGTATCCAAGCAGCAAAGAGGAAACACAAATGGATAGCCGAGCAGAGCATCTCGTGACCAGATCCGCGTACCAAACCACCGCAAACGGACAGCCGAGCAGAGCATCTCGTGCACCAAAGCACCACCAACGGACAGCTGAGCAGAGCACCTCGAGACCAGATCCGGGTATCCAAGCACCAAAGAGGAAACGAGTGGGGAGACAAACGGATAGCTGAGCGCAGCATCTCGTGACCAGATCCGCGTACCAAAGCACCACAAACGGACAGCCGAGCAGAGCAGATCCGGGTATCCAAGCATCAAAGAGGAAACAAAGTGGGGAGACAAATGGAATGCCGAGCACAGCATCTCGTGACCAGATCCGCGTCGGGACTAGAGAGGAAACGCAAATGGATAGACGAGCAGAGCATGTCGTGACCAGATCCGAGTACCAAAGCAACGGACAGCCGAGCACAGCATCTCGTGTACCAAAGCGCCACCAACGGACAGCCGAGCAGAGCATCTTGTTCCCAGATCTGGAGAGGAAACGAGTGGGGAACAAACCGGTACCAAAGCACCACAACGCCACAAATGGACAGCTGAGCAGAGCATCTCGTGACCAGATCAAGGTTGGGGAACAAACCGGTACCAAAGCACCACAACGCCACAAATGGACAGCTGAGCAGAGCATCTCGTGACCAGATCAAGGTACACAGGCACCAAAGAGGTATCTAGTGGGGAGACAAATGAACAGCAAAGCAAAGCATCGTTGCCCTGAGTGCCCCAAAGCGGCGACAATAACACACGCACCATTACGCCCTTACCGGCTCAACTACGTCAACCCTGCCTGCTGCAGCACCACGTCATGGGAGATCGACTCAATGCGTCTGACCTTGGCAAGCAACACGACAGGTGCCATCTGCCACTGCAAGCGCAACTCTGCCAAAGCACCTTCCGCTTCCTTCATCTGCTTAAGTTGCCAGGTTGTGGTCTGCTCTTTGGAGCGCCACCTTGCCTGGCAGTGTCAAAGCAATGGTTCTGCCTCAAAGTCACATGGGTTGGCTTCCGCACCTGCCGCTGCCATCTGTACCCACAATCAAACAACAACAGCCCTAGGAAGAATCCCTATTAGCGCAGGGCTTACCAGATGCCTTTTCCAGCTGTCGCTGCCATTCCTCTTGGGATTCTGGAGCACATACCTGGGAGCCCGTGCAGGCAAGATAAGTTGGAGAAACGGAGACCTGGAGGATCCTGCACTTTGGGCCACGGAACACAACAGAAAGCATATTTGTTGGTGAACTGGTCTGCGCAGCCCTCTGTGCAGCTTGAGGCCCGAGCCTGAGTGCAATGCAGAATTTTCCTGCTAGCTACGCCTCCTTCCTTTGCACCAATGTAAGATGTCATAGGCCAGCCAACCTTGTCTACAGATTCGCCTGGCACTAGCTCAAGCAAACCGCCTGCCTGGAACACTGACCCATCAGTCTTACAGACGCCACTATCGGGGAACGTCATATTGGGTGTCCCATGTTCTGACTATCGAGCAACGTAGCCCCATATCTGACTCATGCCTTGGTCACAGTCACAGCAAAATCTCAGCCTGCTGGCCCACTGCTGGCTGCGGGAGTGAGCACAAGCGGTAGGCCACTTACTTGTTTGTGCTCGGCGTGCTGCATGCTTGGCGGAGCCTCTCACGTTCTTATCTTTCCTCCTTTTTCAATCGAATGCACCTCAGGTGCATAAGTGTGACTGGCTATGACTAGATACTAAAAGTGAGACTGTCTAACTCACACCAAATGCGAAGCGCGAGCACCCGCATTTATGAAGGATTATATAGACTCTATTATAAACCTTATCAACCCAGGCAGTGGAACCACCTACTAAAGTGGCCAAGTGGGGCTTTGAGGCTCTGCTGATGGAAGTACGGAAAAAAGACCCACATAATGTTTCTTGCAGGATGCCAATCTACAGGGAAAAACCATCTCCAACTCACCATCGAAAACCGGCGGTACTCCAAAACCACGAGAAAACGGGCGGCATGTGGCGCGGTTCTGTGCCTCCGCTTGCTCCTTGGCGTTCAGCGCCCGCAGTACACCATTTCAAATCCGCATCCGCTTGTCAGTGGATGAAAAGCTGTCAGCTCCATGGAACAGATCCTGCACATTCCCCCCGAATGAGACCCACTGGCCAAAAAAGCAAATTGAAACATCGCTGCCAAGCGAAAGCGCCGCTTTAAAGCAAGACACGATATGTTAAGCAGACCCCAGTCCCCGGGCACCAATTGGAAAGCGACCTGCCAAACCAAGATAAAGCATCTTGCAATTTGTAGAGACACTTCGAGGCCCCGGTGTAAGGAAACGGAACCTGCAAAACAATAGGAAACATACAAAAAGCAAGCAAAACGGGCGTCTGGGTGCGCGGCGGGGCTGCCACATGTTTGTCAGCTGCACTGCTTGAGGGCTCAAGGCTATGCAGTGACAATCTGGAAGCTGTGCCAACCTGGTTGTGACGCCCATGAACCTTTGCCGAATTTTGCAAAACCCCGTGAAAGAGGGTAGGTCTTCTGTGTCTGCCCATGGTAGCAGGCATGATGCATTTTATTCGGCTGCCTGCGTTATCCCGGTCATTGTGGCCAACGTGGGGAGAGTTGCTACATCTCCCTGTACCGGTTGACAATTCTGGTTCGGAGGGATGAGGTTCATTATAAGCCGCTGTGCCTCAAGACCCTCATGGAACTCACCTTTCCCAACTCCAAACATCCCTGAAAGTAAGGGCTCCCCGTTGACATGAAAAATATTTTTTGTGGGTAGCACCTCACAAAGACCCCGGTCAAGGAGCCCTTTGCAAACCTCTACCCAGTCGGCATCTTTGACAACAACTCGTGGGGGACGAGCTCGATGTTGGAGCTCCCTTGGGACAAGGAACTCATCAAAGTGTTGTACATAATGTAAGACGCCACCACAGCAAAAATCTTCGAGGGCCAGGATTCCAACCTCGTCAGGAAGGGCACTCTCAATTGCCTTCCAGGAAAAGACCTGAGCGACCCTGACTTCCTCACCCTCATACTCCACGCCCCTGAATTTGAAAAATTCGGGGAATCAAGAATGGGTTCCACCAGCAGTTCATTGACCAGTTGTTTCAACCACCTGACCAATTTCCTTCAGCGCCGCAACTGCTGGAGCATTTTCCGCTGACGAAGGCGTGAAGCCCAAGCTTGAAGCACAACCGGAGAAAGGGGACCCAATCTTCTTCGCGGCTGGCAAGGGAAGAGGAAATACCTTCCCGGCGGGCTGGGACTTGCCGAAGCTAAAGTTCACATCAAATGAAGCCAGCAGGTCATGAAGATCCGGCCCCGCCTCAGTGAGCGTTGCGCCCACCATCGCCCTCCACGCCCGCAAAGGTGCTTCACTCCTTCCAAACGGCCTCCTCATCAGCATTTCAAGAGATCTGTCTCCCCCAGCGCACTCTGAGCTCGTCTTGTCCTTTTCTCCTTTGTTCGGACCAAGAGCAGGATCTTCTCCTCTGCTCCCCTGTCCCCCCACGGGCAAAGCGGCCGCAGATCCACAGGTACACAGAGCAACGGTTGGGGCCTCCCAGAAAGATCCCGTAGAAGGCTCTCGCTCTGAGTGCCCTCTGCCATCATGTCCAAATACTTGTCGCCACCCTCCAGCACCACACCTTTGATCTTGCCGGCCACCTCTTCTCCTCCGAAGCACCCCTCTACGAGGGAAACCCCGGGCAGGAAGAGCTTTCAGCTTTGGGGCCGCTTTCACAGCCGCAGATCCCGTGTCGAGGAACCCTCTTAGGCACCGCTCTCTTGGGAAGCATCAGCCTCCTCCCGGAGTCCCCTTGCCTTTGCTCTTCCCCTTGTCCTTGTCGCGTCTCTCCTCCTGTCTCTTCTTGGCCCCCTTATTTTTCCCCTTTTGGGAGAGGGGTCCCTTCTCCGGTTGGCCGCTGAGATGATCCCCGTTCAAGACCGGCCTCCACCAGCACCACCCTTCAGCGTCCGCCCACCTAGGCGGCTGGGAGGGGGATCGGGGCACGTTCCTGCCAAGCTCCTCCATCTTCACCGGGGGGAAGCTTCGGGATGCCGTCATCCGAAGAGTCGCGACCACCGGATGGAGAGCGTCGCCTGCGCTCCCCTCCTCCTGCGGCTCCTCTTCACCTCAGCCTCCATCCTCGGCCGGCTCCGAGATTTGCGGGAGGGGGCCGCCTCCCGATCCTCCCTTCGCTGAAGTTCTTCTTCTTCTTCTCATCTCTTCTTCACCTTCTTCTCCTTCTTGCCCGGGGCCGGGGTAGGGGGGGCTACCGCGGGCGGTGCTGAAGGAGCGCTCGGCTCTGCGCAAGGAGCCGAGCCGGCTCCCGAGCCCAGAGGGGGACCAGGAGGTCCGTCCGCGGCCCTCCCCGATTGGATGAGGGCGGAGGAGTCCCGGAGCTCACCCAGAAACTCCCTCAACCACTATGTTGCAAGGTTGCTATATGTTTATGTATGTATGTATGTATGTATGTATGTATGTATGTATGTATGTATGTATGTATGCCTCTGTGTGTGTGTCTATGTATGTTGTATGTATGTATGTATGTATGTATGTATGTATGTATGTATGTATGTATGTATGTATGTATGTATGTATGTATGTATGTATGTATGTATGTATGTATGTATGTATGTATGTATGTATGTATGTATGTATGTATGTATGTATGTATGTATGTATGTATGTATGTATGTATGTATGTATGTATGTATGTATGTATGTATGTATGTATGTATGTATGTATGTATGTATGTATGTGTATGTATGTATGTATGTATGTATGTATGTATGTATGTATGTATGTATGTATGTATGTATGTATGTATGTATGTATGTATGTATGTATGTATGTATGTATGTATGTATGTATGTATGTATGTATGTCTGTATGTATGTATGTATGTATGTATGTATGTATGTATGTATGTATGTATGTATGTATGTATGTATGTATGTATGTATGTATGTATGTATGTATGTATGTATGTATGTATGTATGTATGTATGTATGTATGTAATGTATGTATGTATGTATGTATGTATGTATGTATGTATGTATGTATGTATGTATGTATGTATGTATGTATGTATGTATGTATGTATGTATGTATGTATGTATGTATGTATGTATGTATGTATGTATGTATGTATGTATGTATGTATGTATGTATGTATGTATGTATGTATGTATGTATGTATGTATGTATGTATGTATGTATGTATGTATGTATGTATGTATGTATGTATGTATGTATGTATGTATGTATGTATGTATGTATGTATGTATGTATGTATGTATGTATGTATGTATGTATGTAATGTATGTATGTATGTATGTATGTATGTATGTATGTATGTATGTATGTATGTATGTATGTATGTATGTATGTATGTATGTATGTATGTATGTATGTATGTATGTATGTATGTATGTATGTATGTATGTATGTATGTATGTATGTATGTATGTATGTATGTATGTATGTATGTATGTATGTATGCCTCTGTGTGTGTGTGTCTGTATGTATGTATGTATGTATGTATGTATGTATGTATGTATGTATGTATGTATGTGTATGTATGTATGTACGTACGTACGTATGTATGTATGTGTGCATGCGTGTAGGTGTGTATGTATGTATGTGTGCGTGTTTGTTTCTGTGTTTGTTCGTTTGCTTCTTTGGCTGGTTGGCTGGCTGGCTGGCTGACCGTTTTTTCTTTATTTGGTTGCTTGTTCTTCCTATCTATGTCTTATCTATGTCTGTCTCTGTATATGAGCATATTTGCAGGATTGTCTATATCAAATATGTCTATGTGGAGCTATGTGTATATGCTAGTCAAGCACTTGCCACTGCACTCGTTTAGAGATCGGTCCATCATGCACGTGGAGTCTACATTCGTTGCTCAAGGTGTGCCCCCCACCAATCAGTGAAAGCACAGTCTGCCACGTCGTGTTCAGTGGTGAGTGATCTAGGAGACTAGTGACCCTTGACCTTTTCAATGTGACAGGACCCAGGACTTGTGCTCGCAAAGCGACTTTGCCCTAGCACTGCTCAAACTAGCGCGCTATCCTTGGTGAAAATAATCCCTGCTTGGTGCAAATCATTCCCATGCAGCTCCGTACGGTGGGTGGACAAAATCCCGCACCACCTAAGACACCCTCGAATGATGATTCCCCTGCAAATACCAAGAAAGACTGGTTTCCCATAGTTGCCAAGTGCTTCAGGATTTCGTCCATCCACAGTATGTCATTCAAGTTGGCCTCCGCAAACGCCTTTGGCGCAGAGGGCGCCGCCACAGGCGCCGCCCCAGGCGCTGCCACAGGCGCTGGCCTGTGGGCGACTGCAGGCGCCGCTACAGGAGAGCGCTCCGCCGTGAACCTAGGTGGAAGTTCTAGTCGGGGCATCAGCTACATGCCAAACAAAGGCAGTGATACTTAAATAGTGTCAACCTGGGATTAAAGATTGAGCCCAAAATAAAGACACCCGGGTAGGACAATTGAACCTGAAATAAAGATAAGATGCCCAACCCAGACGAGATGCCAAACAAGCAATCCTTAAACACATGCAACAAGCACAGCTTCGAGCCTGCTCCCCAAGATCTGCAAATGTTCAACTTCCGTAAAAATATATGCTTTCTTACATGTGTCTTGCTTCAAACCTGCCCGCACTCAAACCGTTGCAAAGGGGGCAGTACTTCAGGCCCTCAAGTGTTGTGCCCGAAGCCCCTTGTTGCCTGCCCCCCTCAAAAAACCTGACTTGCCCTTTCAACAAACTAGACTCATGCTTCCTTTCATGTCGCTTGTTTAAAAACTGCCCACAGTCAAACACGCAATGGCCCTACAATAAAGTCTTGGTTTTTGGCCCCTTATCAAAAAGGAACATCCAGCAATTCTAAAATCAAATGGAACCTTAAAAGCGCAATACTCAAGTCCACGCATACTGGATCAAATGACAACTCAAAACCAAATAGCAACAGGAAGACCCGGCAGTACTAAATCAAATTCAAACTCAAGTCCACCAATACTAAATCAACTGGAAACTCAAATCATAAATCTTAAAAGCAAGCCCCAGCAATACTAAAACTATGCAAGCTCAAGTCCACCAATACTAGATCGAATGCAAACTGAAGCAAGGTCTCAAAAGGCAAACCCAGCAATACGAAATCAAACGGACACTCATTATTGGGCTAAAACAATCTAACTGGGCCAGGGAAAGAGCGTCCCGTCAGCGGCCGCAGGCAATGCACGAAGCAGGATGCTGAACGAGACACCTTGCTTACGCCTGAGGAAGGCAAGATTCGCATGTGCCATGTTGCATGGCAGAGCCAAGGCAAGCATCGGAAATCTGGTCAGTACCGGGCAGAAAACAAGACTCATCCCAACATGTCTCAACTGTTACGTTTCGAGCAATTTGCTTCCCCCAAAGGGAAGTTAACGTGGTGGGCAGCTCATGTTAGGCAACACGACGTGAGCTGGCTGGAAAAAGAGGGGCAACCGGGAAACCCGCCACAAACACAAACCCACCGCAAAGTATTTCAGCAAGCAGAACATGGATCAGACACGACCAGGGTTGGCGGCTGTCTTGCTTCCAGCGTGCAGGGAATTAACTGTACGACCCAGCGCGGCTTCACACCCCACGGAAACACATCTCACCCCACTGCTTGGCACATCGCTTACCCCACAACAACCGGATCTCACCCCACAAGCAAATCCCACTGGCACACCACTTGAAAAATGCGCGTTTATGTTGGCAACTGCCTTGTCCGGCGCGTTCGTGCCTATGTGTTTTCACATTAGCCTTTGCTTGTCTCAGCTAGGCTGCGAGCTTAAAAAGCGCCCGAATCGTGTCTGCAAATGCTTGGCACACCACACTTCACCAACATCTGCTGTCCATAGCCACCCCCGTGCGTTACAAGCACCACCCTTCCAATAAACAGCTGACAAGCCATGCGCTCAACAAGCACTTCCCCCATGGCACACCGCGTTTTACACGCGCTTCAAGCAACGTCACCCAGGTGTTCCTCCAGCGGCCCCGGGGCTGGTTTGCACCTTTGTGCTTTCACATTAGCTTCTACTTGTCTGAGCTCGGTTGCGAGCTTAGAAATTGTTCGAACGCTTGGCACACCACAAGTCACCATCATGCGCTGTAGCGTTGCTAAATTCTTTGTTCATAACCCACCCCTATGCGCTATAAGCACCAACCTTCCAATAAACAGCTGACCACTACAGTAATGTGCTCAACAAGCACTTCCCCAATGGCACAACGCGTTTCACACGCGCTTCAACCAACATCACCCAGATTTACCTCCGGCGGCCCCGGGGCTGGTTTGCGCCCATGTGCTTTCACATTGACTTCTACCTGTCTGAGCTAGGTTGCAAGATTAGAAATCGAACCGTGTCCACCAACACTTGGTACACCACAATTCACCAACATGCGCTGTAATGTTGCTAAGTTCCTCGTTCATAGCCACCCCTATGCGCTATAAGCACCAACCTTCCAATAAGCAGCTGACAACCAATGCGCTCCACAAGTGCTTCCCCTCATGCTTCTTTTTTCTTTCTTCTTTCTTCTTTCTTTCCCTTGCTTCTTTCTCTTTCCCTTACTCTTTCTTTTCTCTTTCACTTGCGCTAGATCATGTCTTGCGGGGCGTGCAACGACAAGGACGACTCAGTACATCCTCCTGTTGCTAACTTCCCTTCTTGTCGTCAAAACCAAGGGTCAATACCTCTACGGTTACTAATCAGGGGTCGTGACTAAGGCAACATCGGCGACTTCCCCTGTATAGTCGAAACTGTAGGGGAAACACAAACCATATGGCAGCCCAAAATCAAGCAGAACAAGGGTGACATGGTTTAGAATTCTCGGCAACACCCTTCAGGCCCCAAGACTTATTAGTAGGCAACGGGAGTACGTGATGCGGTGAAACAGTGGAATGTCCATGGTGAAAGTCCGGATTTAAACGAAGTCCCTTGGTTTCGGGAGTTAGGCTGAATGCTGCAGACGCTGGCTCACAAGGGAGGCTGATTGGATGGTTTGCCCATGTTGCGACCGCAGCGAGACGAAATGTTGGTGTAACCGGACTCGGGAATCATCCTGCTAGTGTCCAGGCTTGTTTCACCAACACTCGATACTGGACCATGCTCCCATTTTGGTGAGGTTCTGCTTTGTTTGTCGGAAGGTCAGCCCTATACAATTAAAATTGGTAGCGGCTGGTTGAGTTTCAGCTATGTACTCCCCGTCCGATTGTCCGATCATCCGCGCGACCCCCGTGCTGCCATGCGGCGAATGTGCTGGCTGGAGCCGTTGAAGGAAGGACTCCTCGACACGGCGGAAGGAAGCTATCAGCTGCCCAAAACAACGGGAGTCTCTTAATCGCATTTTCATAGCCAACCAAACTAGAGTGAATCCCTTTAGACATCCCCTAGAACATGTGCCACTTGATAGGTGGTGACTTATAAGATGGCTAGGTGAAATCGCTTGGTCAGACCCCCGATGGAAGCATGCCATAGTGAGCGCAACTTGGTGCCTCCTACATTTGCTTCGCTCCTCGCTCTGTTCAAGAAACACAGACTTGAGGAGACCAGAAGAAACGACAAGCAACCCATGATCCAATGTGTCACCTTCTTCTCTTCACATCGCCCCTGTCAAAAGCCGTAAGTTCATGCTTTGCAAAACATTGTTCTGTGCAGTCACTGGGCAAGGGAAGCCATTGCAGTCAACATTGCAACTGGATAGTGAATTGTGAGCTTCCCATGGCTCCTGCCTCTGTGGCCCTAGCAAGCATTCAAATCAACCGCTATACTGGCAAATGCAAGATTGGTGCTTTTGAGCCGGCAAGGTCGGAAACAGCATCAGTGTAAAGTAGACATGCGTACTTGAATGCGGATGCAAGCAGCAAGCCAGAGCTTGCCATGACAAAAGCATCCAAGATATCAAAGAGATGCCATACGTGGTGGGCTGACACGCCTCAGCTGAATGACACGAGCGTCTCACTTTGAGAAGTATTGCATAATTTCTGAAACAGGATGAACATTCATTCGGGATCCTTTCATGAGGATCCTGTGGTGAGGTGACGACCCTGTGGTGGGACCCTTTGGTCCACATCATGCAAACTGGTGTTCACCAAGCAATCTGGCGTGTTCCCAGTCAAAAATCAAAGCCCTGTATATCTTATTGCTGGCGGCAGTGTTGGTGCATCGGGCATGCATCATGTCAAGGACAAACACACATGAGTAGTGGTTTTCGTCTAGCGGTCGTTGTGTGTTTTTGTTGGTTTGTTGCTTTGTTTGTTTGCTTGTTTGTATGTTTGTTTGTTTGTTTGGCTGTTTGTTTGTCAGGCATTTTAACAATGGTAAGCGTACGTTTGATAACGTGCTGCTTCTCCGCCTTGACAACAGAACGAACCATCTATCACCAATAATGCAAATAGTCACGTATCAGAATGCCAATGCGACACACTAGAAACCAACTGGAGGACTAGTGGTTCGGTATGGCACACAACTGGAGAAACCATTCAGTTTTGGTGTGACACACAACTGGAGGACTAGTGGTCAAGGAAAGCCCACAGGACACGTTTGGGTCCTCTATTTTGGCGTTAGGAAGAGTCAAGCAAAGCCAACAAACACCAACCATGCAGAGACATGGACTGATTTTGGCACACAGGCCGATACTTTTAGCGCCGACATCGAAAACTATTGCGACTCACATAGTGGCCAAGGGAAAAACGGGCACCTTGCTGGCTGCCTGCTGCCTTTTGAGGGAAACCTGCCAGAAAACACAGCTGCAAGCCCCCCCAGCTTCTGCGCCGCAAACAATGCGCTCGATTCCGGTCCATATGCAGTAAGCCTCAAAATGAACAGAAAAAGGGACAGAAATGCCCCTCAAACTGCGATTTCAAAAGAGGGTAGAACCCACTGATCTATGACAGGGCCAACGACTCAGTGACTCGGCACCGGCCTGGTGGGTGGATTGCAGGAAGACGACCACCACCAGGGCAGACAAGGCCCCGATGGCCGCAGGCCGCACAAACCTCAAAGCCGAGGAGGTTTTCTTCTGGTTCCTTTACATTGGTTGCGTTTGAGGGGGTCCTCAAAATTGCTTTGGGGAATTGGGGAGGTAATTTCTGTTTGACACTTGTCCCGCAGTCTGGCCATTTTTTGCCAAGCAGGCTTTTCCTCGCAGCGTGCATTGCGGTTTGAACACCAATCCTGGGTCCTGACTTTTGATAGCCTCGTTAAGGGTGTGTGGAATGTGCAGTGGAGGCACTGCTGGCCCTTGCGGAGGAACCCACAGCTGCCTTGTGAGAATGGACAGCCTGAACGTGCTTTGGGGAGATCACCCGCATGGGGTGGCCAGTCACGGGCCATCCACCACAAGCAAGTTGCTATATTGAAAACCGGAAACAGTGAGCCAACAAGCTCTCTGTTCCATAAATATGGATGTCACACTCTCTTGTTTGGCTCGTTGATGTCCAAAAAGTTAAAGCTGTAGTGGGACGCCCTCTAAACTCCAACAATATCATGTCAAAGGGCACGACTGGGAACCGCCGAGCTTCGGCCAACCCCCGGAAGCACGCCCTGTAGCTCAGCCCCTCACCCAGCGTCCCCACGCCGTGGCCGCGCCATGCCATGGCGGAGCAGCGCTCGGACTTTAATTTGTCAATCGGTTGAGGAGCATTGGTCTAGGGGTTGATTCCTTGTCCATTCTTTTCAACCATCGTTCTTTTCAAAAACCAGCTGTTTCTTTGGGTCCTTTGGGTTTTTGATGGTTTCCAGAAAAGAAGGATCCCTGGAAAGAATGGGGAAGGTAGCCCTAGAATTGGGTGCCGAATGCGTAGGGTCATGAACCAAGCTACGATCATAGAATCTGCGCCGGGTTCTAAATTAGGGGGCCTGGAAGAAATCGTGATCCGTCCCTCTCGTTGCCCAGGAAAGGCAGACGAAATCTGGCACACAGATCGGTCAAAGGCAAGCGATTTGTTTATAGATCGACCAACAAGCAACATACATTCGAAAGTGAGTTGGAACTGGATGATCACGACCCAGGGCCTGCATGCAACCACCACTGAGGGCTGAATTCTGAACGTGTGCCGTTTTGCGCCCAGATGCATGTCTTTTGAGCGGGACATGTTCTGCTTGTTTTTGCTCACGTGGATGCGAAAGGCTTGGGTCACCTCCACTGCCCCATTGCTTCCCTTTCTGCCATGGCATTGAGGCGCCCCGGGGTCTCATGGCTTCTTAGCAGATGCCGGCTGTCGCCAGGCTGGGGCCAAGGGGCCAGGCGGGGCTCAAGCTGCTCAAAAGAGGCAATGCTGGTAGGGTCCTAAGGGGAAACATGAATGAGTATGTCAAAATAGGGGAGCCTCACAAATGGTGGATAGTTTCCATGCAAACCAACCCTGCAAATGGTACCCTCCACCAAAAAAAACACCGCAATATGTTGGACAGCCCCGCTCTTCGGATCCAGGGCTCCCTACTCGTCATGCCATGGGAATTTATCATTCTATGGTGTGGCAAGCCCCGCGCAACAAAGGTCCCAACAGGACATCGCCGCAGGCCAATCATATATGGGATGTCCAGCAATCCGCCAGATCTGCAGGCCAACACCGCCATGCTGGATATGATCAAACGGCCCAGAATTCTCGATGCTGCAATTCGATTGCGTGGTAGCATCCGTGCATGTTCTTTGTTTGGGCGCCCTTTATCCTTTGATTGGCTTCAAGCCAGGGTTCAGCCACCTTCTTTGGCGACCTTGTACTGTTTGATTGGCTTCACTTCAAGCCATGGTTAAGCGATCACCCTAGGCACCCTTTACCTTTTGCTGGCTTCAAACTATGGTTTAGCCATCTTTAGCACCCTTTACCTTTGGATTGGCTTCAAGCAATGGACGAGCCATCTCCTTTGGACCAGACTCCTGGCAATGACAAAGCAAATTGATGGTGAATAACATGTTGTTGAGGATGCTATCTTTTCTGTGCAAATTACTGGGTCGCAGGCAGTAGAATAAGTACCCATCCCCGAAATTTGGAAACTCAACATGATTGTCCTCGGCCAAATCCATGACAAAGCTTCATGGATGGCTTACGTGTATGTCACATACTGACGCCCCCAGCAGTGCTGGAGCTCTTCGATTTACCCACGCATCAATAACTACAAAGTAAATGACTTTCAGTACATATATACGTATATTTATATCTTATACATGCTGGGACGAGGTCTCACAAATTTGCATGCAGTGCTGTGACTTCCCCCGACCAATAGCAGTGGGTGAGATAGTTCGAGCAATAGCTTGCCATACGAGCCAAGCTGAGCCAGGTCAGGTGACTAGTGTCCGGCAAAAAGCCGTCAAACCTTGGTGGCCCGTTCTTGATGGTGCCCCCCCCCGCCCAAAAAGTCTACATGTGTTGTTGTAGCTGCGTGGGAAAATCATCATTTCACAACTTCAAAAAAACAGCTTCAAGATCCAACCCAAAAGCACTCAAGAAGTATTGTGCATGTTGTGGCAAAATATTGGTATCCACAAATCGAGCAAAGAGTTCTATTGCTAGATCAAATGTCTATCAATAACTGTATCCTTCGAGCAAGAAAGGTAGAAGGGCACAAGCTCTCTGTCCAACAGGGAATGTAGTCTGCCAAAATTGGATTGCACACTTTGATGTTTGTTGGTTAAAGTGTACCCGACCAAAGCCGGTTGCACTGTTGCAGTAAATAATCAGGCGGCAAAACAAATTCTGCCATTGGGTTTGTGACACACACACACACACAAGGGACCAAAAGTTGGCTCATGTTGAAAGGAGGCCAACATGATTCACATGATATCGTTGCAAGTTTAGTCCCGCTGCCCTCAGCATTCCAAATCAAACCAGTGTCATACAAACTCAAGTTCCACCAAAACTAAAACGCAGCCCATTTTGCGCCGTCCTGCGCGCGGCATGACGACGCTTGGTCATTGACGTGCTGAAGAAGGCGTTGACATGCAACGCGTAGGGCGAAACAATAAATGCCCACCTCATAAGCCAGCTCCGGTCAAATCAAGGCATCCGTTTCTGGATGTTTGAAGGGAACTTAATCTTAAAACCAGCATTTGAGGTAGCTTCTTCTCTTGCTGGTCTTGAGCACGAACAGCGCAAACTCCTTGGCGATCCGGGGCTGACTTCATGAGGACGAGTGACCGACCTGCCAAGTTTTCTGGCTTACAAGGAGGTAGCCTTTCCACATCGCATCAATCGGAGAATGGTCCCAAACAACCAGGCACTTCAAGCAGAACTAGCGGAAACTGCTGCCTAGAATCCGGCAAATACAACGCTATAAAACAGGGCTCAAAAGAAAGGGGAAGGGAGGCAGCAAAACCTGAGGATTCAATGGCCTAAGGCCCAATTGGGTTTAAAGTGTACCCGCTCCATGTGTTCAAAGGGAAGGAACTGCTCCGGAGAAGCTCCTGTGATTCGCATCGCACTGAACCCAAGCCAAATGTGGCGCTCAAGAGTGCTTGATAAATCGATAAACTGACAGTGTCATCAAAGCCCGTGCCCTCACCACACTTTGCCATAAAACGGCCTAACAAGTGCTGAGAAGCCCAACACTCTGGCAAATGGGTTGACATGGAAAAGCGCGACAGCTTTCCTGCAACGTAGGTCCGACTATTGGGCTTGACCAGGAATTACAAGTACGGGTCAGCCAAGTGACAATTCTCCGGAGGGGGGAATCATTTTGTCAAGTGATTCGTCCTGTCCGGAGTGGAACACGATACGTCTGGAGTCGTTATTCTAGGAACTGCCCAAAACACAGAGCTTTCACTTCGCAGGTCGGTCTTCAAACCTGGCTTTTCACGCGGCATATCCCACAGGGTACCACCGCGTCATGCAGAGCGGGGTCGACGCTTCGACGCATTAGCGCGGGCATGCAATTGGAGAGAGGTGCAGTAATTAGACCGTAGGTTTCGGGCTTCTTTTAGGCTGCAGCTTCTCTGTCTGGCCAACGGAGGGCACAACGCCACGATGAGACATGCCTTGACTCCTCTTCAGACTATTTGGAATTGAACAACAAAACAAATGGCCACCATTCCCATTGCCAAGAAGCAGCTGATCAAGTTGTGGGGGTCAAGCACTAACCACCTGTGCGTAGCACCAGTACTCCTCTATATAATAGAAAGGTTCACCTTGAACATTGAAAGGATGTCTTGCTGGACAATTCCTCTACACACAAATGTCACACATGTGTTTTAAGATGCATGTTAGTTTCGGAGCCTCACGGCCGGTTGTCAACTTGCACCTCTCAGCCATACTCAGCCACTTTGTCGTGGAGCGGATGATCCGGAATAATGTGGCCTAGAGCCGTGAACGTTCGTATCCTCTCGCGAATCTTCTCCTGGGCACGGTCGGCACGTGGCATTGCATCAAAACTGAGGCAACCAACTAAACATGTTCAAATGTGTTTGCTGTGCGGCAAGTTCATGGTCAACTATCCTTGCCGAGCAGGCAGCGAACCACCCTATATTACTGTCACGTGCTCAACATGTCTCCAGCAAAAATGGGTGCCTTTGTTAGGGCATGTTTTTGGAGGAAAGCACCCATTTTGCGAGTCCCACCTACTCAGAGACAAACTCATACGAAACAAAGCCAGGATGCGCCCTGCTCCTGTATGCAAACTGTCGTTCCTGGAAGGCGTTCCGTTGCACTGGAACTGGGATGATCCGTTGCCTAAGTCTTGTTCAGCCGAGTTCCGCTGGAGGAATGCTCATAAACAATGGTGTCAAGGCGCTAGAAACGGGACTCATCGTGGATGGGGAAAGTCGGGTGGCATCAAAATGAATGCCAGAAATAGGACAAGCAAAGTAGCACGTGGTTGATTACTGGTCTCATCGGAGGAAACGAGACAACTTCTGACCGTTGGGTGGGCCAAAAAAATAGAAGCTCCAGGCCACCGATATTGCTATCGTCTTGTTACTATTCTTTCTAAAAGGTGTTGACAAAAAAAAAGTGAATGTGGTCACGACTCGCCCTTTACGATGAACGCGTTCCCTCAGGCGTTTGCAGCGTCGCAATAATGGGCTCAACGCGCTTGGACACCTACCCAATATGCTATCTTGCCCGAAGGCTTCCTAAAGGTCTTTGGGCCGGAAAGCATTGTGTAGACACAATCTGAAGGTCACATGATTGATTGTTTGCTAGCTTGTTTGCCTGCCAGCCTGCCTGGCTTGCTTGCTTATTTGCGCATGTGTGTGTTTCGCTGTGTTTGTGTGTCTCTGTGTGTATGTGTCAATAGCGTGTTTGTGTTTGCGGGTTGTGTGCGCGCGTGTGTGTGTGTGTGTCTCTGTGTCTGTGTCTGTGTCCGTGTCCGTGTCTGTGTCTGTGTCTGTTTCTGTGTCTCTGTGTCTCTGTCTCTCTGTCTGTCTGTCTGTCTGTCTCTGTGGCTTCCTGTCTCTGTCTGTCTCTGTCTGTCTCTGTCTGTCTCTGTCTGTCTCTGTTTGTCTCTGTCTGTCTCTGTCTGTCTGTCCGTCTGTCTCTGTCTGTCTGTCTGTCAGTCTGTCTGTCTGTCTCTGTCTGTCTGTCTGTCAGTCTGTCTGTCTCTGTCTGTCTGTCTGTCTGACTGTCCGTCTGTCTCTGCCTGTCTGTGTTTGTGTTTGTGTTTGTGTGTGTGTGTGTCTGTGTTTGTTTGT